ATACATACATACATACATACATACATACATACATACATACATACATATATATCTGCAAAAAATGCTGTAATAAGTTGCCTAGAGAGCTTATATTTCTACCAGTTATATTTTAAGCTCATCATTTTTCCTAAATTATTATCTTTTGCTTTACAAATTAATATTCATCTCCCAACTCTAGCTATTGATGCTGGAGTTAGCTTTTCCCATTTATTAGGGGCTAGTTGCAATCATACTTTTGGTCTTGGTTTTGGTCGTGTTGCTTTTTCAAGGTTCCTAAATTGTTCATGTGTTCTTAGGCCACTTTGGTCCCATAAAAGTTTGATACAAAGTTTCTCTCCTTCCTTTCTATTGAAAGCCCTCACTCAATGTAATTTCCCAACTCCCACCATCCAAACATTCAGTATTTACACCAGTCTCAAGACAATTATAAGATCAGCACATCAGGTAAATTTAGCAGTGGGATTTGTTCTATGGTTGTTATTTTATGTTGGGGAAATAGCATCGGCAACCACTCAGTCCTAAATAGAAAAGGAATGTACAGTTTCTTCCTTCCAGGATTTTATCAAAACCCACTGTCCTGCCTTAAATTTATGTACAACAAAGTCCAAGGTGGTATTTGTGCAAGTATCCCTTTTTGTCTTAAAAGAAAGATTGGGAGAATTCAAGAATATATTTTCTCACAATTTTGTCTGTTAACTCAGCTCTAGGCAAACCCTCCTTCCCACAGTATGGGATCCCCAACAACATCTCATCTCTCCTTCCACTACTTTGGCACTTCCATCAATAAAGTAGTGCTACACAATCATGTTGGTCTCCTTTGCTTATTCCCTTTCTCATCAATAATTAAGCAAGGTTCACATGATTGCTTATGGAGAGTACCAAATTAAGGTCTTCTATGAGGATTCCCTCAGACTTTAGGATACAAGAATTGGTTAACCATCTCTGAGCTTGTTGAGGCAGGATGTTCCTGATCTGATGTTGGGTTGTAACCACCAAAGCCCCCTCCCTAAATGTGAGGTTTCTTTTCTTTTCTTTTCTTTTCTTTTCTTTTCTTTTCTTTTCTTTTCTTT